CCTTACATTTGATTCAACATTTCAGCAAGAATAACACTTTAGATTGGAGATGATTAGTCTTGTTTCTTGAAAAGAGATTTACAAATATTAAAAGTTAGTGTGTGCCGGTCGGTGGTGGCACACGCCTTTAATCCCAGCACTTGGGAGGCAGAGACAGGTGGATTTCTGAGTTCGAGGCCAGCCTGGTCTACAGAGTGAGTTCCAGGACAGCCGGGGCTACACAGAGAAACCCTGTCTCGAAAAAAAAGAAAAAAAAGAAGAAAAAAGAAAAAGAAGAAAAAAAAAGTTAGTGTGTGTGTGTGAGACGCATACCACTGAGTGTACATGGAGATCAGAAGGACAATTTAAGTGTAGTCGGTTCTACCCAGGCCGGTACATCAAGTGCCTTTACCCATACCTCCTAAGCCATCTTGCAGGCCCTTTGTTGAAATTTCTAAAATCACTTCTGAGGTTGGTAGGCATAGAGTGAGGATGAATATGATCAAAACGCATCATATACATTTGTGAAGTTAAAATTTAAAATACTGTATTACGCCCCTTCTATCTATGGTACTCTCAAGTGTCTCACCTCTCTGCCCTTTGTAAGTTTTTCCTAATTTGAATTAAACAAACTTATTCTAAACGTAATAGCTTAAAAATGAGGATTCGCCTGGGCAGCTTTTTCTTGGCACTTGTCTTGTAGTTTCGTGAGGTCATGCTGACGTGCAGACGCCTGATGATTCTCTCGGGTTTCATGTCCGTGTGTGTGAGTGTGTGTGTGTGTGTGTGTGTGTGTCTGTGTGTGTGCGTGGGCAGAGGGGTTCTTGCTTAGTTTTCCTCTACGGTTTGTTCACGAATGCTGACAGTGGAGCTCTGAGTCACCGAGCAAAGTCTGCTCACTGAGGATTTCTCTAGTTTTTCTACTAGTTCCCAGTTGTAGTTCTTTCTTCTTTCATGTGAGTATTCGTGTTCTTGTGAGTATGTGCATGTATGTACGTGTGGATATAGGTATGGATTATGTGTATGATGGTCAGATGTGGACAATGAGGCCTTCCTTGTTTGCTTTCTGTTTTTTTGTTTGTTTGTTTTTGTTTTGAGACCGGGTTTCTCACTGAACCCTGAGCTCGCCAGCTCCTTTAGGCTGGCTGGCTAATGAACTGTTTTGTTTCTGCACCTTCAGCACTGGATTTATAGACGTGTGCCACTCGGTTTGATTTACGTGTGGACAACAGGGATCCAAACGCTAGACCTCGAGCTTGTGAGTCAGGCACCTAACTGAGCTATCTCATCAGCCCACACCCTGTTCTCCCTCTCTCTCTTCCCTCCCCTCACTGTCCCTCTCCCTCTCCCTCTGGTGATCCTGTTATGTAACTCTGGCTGGCCAATATCACAATTCCCCTGCCTCCGAAGTGCTGGAATTACAGTCATGTGCCACCATGCCCAATGCCTGACAGACCAGTTGTCTTAGAGGAATCTTGACTCCTGTTTCCAGGTAGCTGTTGGAATGTGAGAGGCAGGACTGGACTCCCCTACGAGTGCAAACTTTCAATCCCACCGGTTTGGACGACAGCTTGGATGACACCCAGCTATGCTTCCTGCTCAGTCCTCATCTGCCCTTTACTTGGCTGCTCCAGGCTTTCACCCAGGCAGGAGAATACAATTATGATAATGTTCCTTCAGGGTTTTCACTGTCCCTTCCCGTTTCGGTTACTTCGAGGGTTCCCTGGTGAAAACTGTCATTTTTCTTGTTGGCTTTATCTATACAGAGAGGTTTCTGTTTCCTCTGGTTTGCTGGATCAGTCATTCCTCCATTTCTAGCCTTTTTTTTTTTTTTTTTTGGTTTTTCGAGACAGGGTTTCTCTGTACAGTCCTGGCTGTCCTGGAACTCACTCTGTAGACCAGGCTGGCCTCGGACTCAGAAATCTGCCTGCCTCTGCCTCCCAAGTGCTGGGATTAAAGGCGTGCGCCACCACTGCCTGGCTTGTTTCTAGCCTTTATACGTTTCCTACTTATAATTTTTCTGTCTTTAAAATCTTTTCTAAAATCTAGAGCTTCATACATGCTTATAATGTTTTGATTGAATCCACCCATCATTCCCTCCCTTCCTGCTCTTCCTTTTTTTTCATTCTTTTTTCTTTTTCTTTTTTCGAGACAGGGTTTCTCTGTATAGCCTGGGCTGTCCTGGAACTCACTCTGTAGATCAGGCTGATCTCGAACTCAGAAATCCACCTGCCTCTGCCTCCCAAGTGCTGGGATTAAAAGCCTGCGTCACCACTGCCTGGCTCCTTCCCATTCCTCTTACCCCCCCCCCCATTCCTTTTCACTTCTGTTGTGGGTTTTTATGTCTTTGTCTTTGGACAGGGATGTGGACAGGAAACAGAAGTCAACATCTATGTCCAGCCTGGTTTTTAAAACTAGAAATATCTTTTTCCTGTCATCTCTGTCTCCTAAGGCAGCTCCTCAGTCAGTAACTAATCATTTCCCCACGTCCAATCAGCAATTACCATAACCCCGTTTTATAATCCCCTCTGAGCCAGTAATTAATCATCCCCCATCTTATCAGCAATTTCCATCAATTCCATCTTGTAATCCCTTCAGGGCTTCAGTCAGATGAAGTCTTCACTTGCTTTCCTCGATCCCGTTCCCTTAGCTTTCCTCCTCGATGGACCAGGGAATCTCGAGCTTCTCTGGTCAGTTTCTAGTCGATCTTATTGAATCTCATGATTTCAAATACTACCCAGTGACTCTCAGATGCCTCTGTCTAGCTTTGCTCTCTTTTCTGAATACCAGGCTACTTGAAACTTCCTCTCGAATGTCTAATATTTGTTGAACTCTACTCTCAGTGAATGTCCTGAGCTCCTCTGATCTCTCCTGACTTCTACACACAGTTAAGGCCTTTCCCCTTGGCCTGTCTTGAAATTCCTAGGCTCCAGAGTCTTTGTTAGCCAAGGCTTTCCCAGTCTTCACATAGCTAAGGAGGTAATATGGGTATTTCCTTCCTTCTCAATGGAAGCTCACTCTATACCCAGTTGTCCAGGTCCCAAACCTAAGAGTCTTCTGTATTTAGTTTACAGAATAAGCTAAACGTGGTACAAGTTGTGACAAACATTTCTTAATTATTGTCTCTAGAAATTTATCTATGTGAACTGGCAGATGGATTTCACACTTTTCCTTCTTAGATATCAGAAAGCATATCACTTTATTCATAAGATGTCTAGTCCAGTAAAATATCAACCTAACTTCTCTTGCAGCTGATATCTCTGCCATCTGTCTAGCTTTGCTTCAAGTCTGAGGTTCCATACGGACCAGGATTCTTTCTTCCAGTTTTTCATGTTTTGACATAAAAAAAGGACTTCCCTGGAAAAACCTCCAGCTTCTTTCTCAAGGGAAACAGAGTGACTTGTTTAGTGAATTTGGGAGAAGAAACAGGGTCCAGTGTGCTGGGCTTCCCTGGGCAACCTTTTTCTGTCTTATTGGCACACTGTGCTTACATGGTACTTGGTGGGTCAGCTCCCAAAGGCTTCAGTTGTTTGCCTGGGTCAGAAGCTGAGACATGTATAAGGCAAAGGCAATCATTATGAAGCAGTTAGCTAGCCCTGTTGATTACCTTCAAACCAACCTTTCTACTGTGAATTTTTAAAATTTACTTTAAAAAATGTGGACGAGTGTTTCACCGGCATGTATGTCTGTGCACCACATGCATACCTGGTGACTGAGGAGGTCAGAAGAGGGCATTAATTCTTTGAAACTGGAGTTATAGATGGCTGTGAGTCACCATGTGGGTGCTGGAAAAACAGTTCCAGGCCCTCTGACAGAGCAGCAAATGCTCTTAAACACTGTACTTAAGTATTGGACTCCAGCCCCCAAATCAAGTCTGAGGCAAGGCTCAGTTAAAATGCCTACTTGTCTTATATCTTTATAAGTTTCTAAGCTAGACCAGGAATAAATTAGTGTTCTTGACTAGAAAATCCCAATATCCCATCTAGGGAAGGTGTGTGGGTGTTTTTTGCCGCTCCTCCTCCTCTGATTTGTCGTTCATGGCCCAGTCACAGCAGTTTGAGGGCTATGAGCAGTGAGGCTATCTTGTTTGGGTAGTTGTAACGAGATCTGCACTCTGTAGGACAGATAAAGACACACTGAACCGCGGTGAGTTCTTGAAACTATTCTCCATTTGTCTGTTCAAATGTTCTCCACTGCACCTCACTATTAGATTCTGCCGGTATATCACAGGCTTTCCTGCTTCCATCTCTACTTTCAAACATAATCAAGGCCTTCCCCCCTCCCCACTCCCCCTCTTTAATTTGTAGGACCCCAAGCTCCAGGTATCCTGAGAGTCGTTCTGTGGCTAAGGAGATGGCGCTCTACCTGTTGTTGTTCGGAGTCAGGACACAGCCTTACCCACGCTCTTCAGCTAGTCCCTATGAGAAGCCAGTGCCGGCTTTCCGAGCACACTCCTCTGGCCCTCTTCCCAACCACATGTCATCATAGTTTCCTTCTCCCTTCACCCGGGTCAAGGTCCCTGCTCCAAGATGATCCGTCGTGCGTGGCCCCAGTTAACTATTAATCAACGCTAGTTTCACCTCAGGCCATTCTAACTTCCTCTTTCTGAAGCACTCGAGGTTTCCGTGGCCTCTTTCCTGCAGATGTCGGAAAGGCCATTCTTCAACAAGCCTGGAGGTATCCCAGCTCAGAACAGCCAAACCCGAAGTCCAAGGCTGTCTATCAAAAAGACTCTAGAGGGGCCGGCTCCGCCCCGCCCCGCCCCTCCCCTTCCATAGGCCTGTCCCGCCCACAGGCCTGCCCCTCCCACAGTCCTGCCCCTCCCATTGGCCGCTCTCGTCCATAGGCCCGCCCTTCCCATAGGCCCCGCCTCCAAAGCGCTTTCTACCTCCGCAGACCCCGCCCCCTGGTGCCCTCGCGGCGTCGCGCGGCCCAGCGCCCAACCAGTGTGGTCGCGGTGCGTCTCTCGTGCCCACTTGGTGATGCTCTGATTGGCCGCGCTCGCATCGGCCCACCCAGTTGTTCCGGTCGGCCGAGGCTCGCGCCTGCGCAGCGCGCTAGGCTGTCAGTCAGGTAAAGGGCTAGCAAGCCTGTGGCAGAGAGCAGTGCTGTCATGACTGAGGGCACGTGAGTCGCAGACCCTGGGTCTCCTGCGGGTGTTGCGAGGGATGCTGCAGGGCGGTGGCAGGGAAGGTGCCTGGACTGCGGGGTAGCATGGCTGGTGGCTCTGCATGCCTGGATTGCAGGCACCCTCACCTGGGCGGAGCCTAACGAAGGCTGCTTCCTCTCGCTGGTCCCCTCAGGTGCCTGCGGCGACGTGGGGGACCCTATAAAACTGATCCCGCCACCGATCTCACCCGCTGGCGGCTCTGCAATGAGTTGGGTCGGCAGAGATGGACTTATTATCAAGCGGAGGACGACCCTGGTCGAGAACAGACCGGGCTAGAGGCCCACTCTTTGGGACTGGACACAGTAAGTGATGTGATTCTTCAGTCACCATTTCATCCCAAGGCTGGAAGTCATCACTGGCCAGCCTTCACCATTCCTTCCTGAGCCAGAGCTCTGAAACAGCCTTGTTCAAAAAGTGGGCGTCTAGCCAATAATATATGCATATATGTACGTGTGGGTATAGTGTGATAGGAAGAAAAGCTGGCTATAAGGAGGTCAGGAAAGTTATGAAAGAAGATGTAAAGCTCATTCTGTCATGGGGCTTCTGTGGTGGATCAATGCATAAAATATTTTGGGAACTGAAAGTAAAAAAATTAACGGAAAGTTTCACAGTCTTTTCAAATGCCAAGGTCATTAAGTTGAATAGACTTCGTGTCTGGTTAATTTTGGAGTGTGATGTTTTTTTATTTGCAGGTTTTTAAAAATAATAAATTTTATAATTTTTTTTAAAAGCACTCAGGAGGCACAGGCAAGCAGATCTTTATGAGTTCGAGGCTAGCTTGATCTATAGAGCAAGTTCTAGGCCAGCTAGGTCTATGTAGTGAGACCCTATCTCAAAACAATTACAAATAAATGAGCAAAGAAGAGGGCTGGTGGCGTAGGTCGATGTTTGTGAGTGTTTGCCTCAGTTCTAATCAACAAAAAGTGCGGTGGCTTAGGGCAGGGCCTCCTTCCAGAGACAAGAATTGAAGCAGCCCCATTATTTGACTCCCTCCGCCTCAGAGACCTGTGGAAGAAGTTGCCCTGATTTGGTTTGATTTTGAGAACTCTACTTTGATATATAACTTTTGATTTGTAGGAGAATTACAAAGATGGGTATGGTTTTGTTTGCATCCACAAGATGAAATACTCAGGACCTGATTTTCTGGTTGTGTGGATCCTCAAGATGAAATACTTAGGACATGATTTTCTGGTTGTGTGGATCTGTGCATGGATGAAGTACAGCTAATCATGGAGCAGTTGGTTAGCTAACAGGCTTCCTGTGAGTCCTGGCCATCTGCTGGGAAGATCTCTAAGCAAGCACTGTGCTATTGTGTGGACCTTTTCTGAAAGGGAAGAGTTCCAGTATCATCTGGGTTCTGTGCTGGGCTTAGTTAAGATGACTTGGAAGTTTTGAAGAAGTTTATAGATCAGTGGCTGGAAGGTAAATTATGACAACATGGAATTGCTTTTTTATTGTACATGGGGTATCTTAGTTAGGATTTTACTGCTGTGAACAGACACCATGACCAGGGCAAGTCTTATAAAGGACAACATTTAATTGGGGCTGGCTTACAGGTTCAGAAGTTCAGTTCTTTATCATCAAGGTGGAACATGGCAGCATCCAGGTAGGCATGGTGCAGGAGGAGCTGAGAGTTCTACATCTTCATCTGAAGGCTGCTAACAAAACACTGACTTCCAGGCAGCTAGGATGAGGGTCTTATAACCCATACCCACAGTGACACACCTACTCCCACAAGGCCACAACTTCCAATCGTGCTACTCTCTGGGCCAAGCATATACAAACCATCACACGGAGTGAAAATTGTCATCATTCTGTCTTGTTTTAAACAAAACAGTTGAAAAATTTAAAGTAACATAGATTCTCTATTTTGACTTGGGTTGTGAATGACGAGGGTTCCTTGGACAGCAGGCACCTTCAACTCAAATCTCTTCCCTCCCTTCACAGAAGAGTTATTTCACGGACTTACCTAAAGCACAAACAGCCCGAGAGGGGGCCCTGAATGGAGTAACCTTTTATACCAAGCTGCAGGCTGAGGATGGACACTGGTCTGGTGATTATGGTGGTCCACTCTTCCTCTTGCCAGGTAGGAGGAGCATGCTACTTCAATTCAATTCAATTCAATTCAATTCAATTCAATTCAATTCAATT